GTAAAACCACATGAAATAAATCCAATTGGATTGCAGTCACCACCGCCACCGCCACCGTCACCGTAAATACGCGAGATGCAGCACACATTTGAATTTAAAAAAAAAAAACACAAACCCACACACACGTACCTACGTGATGGCCAATGAGACCGAAATCATTTTTGGTATTTTTGCGTTAAAATTAATTTGATGGCTTTAATGCCAGTTTTCTATTATTAAAATGTTTTACTTTTGCGTGTTTGTACGAATCAATCCAGGCTGAAAAGAGCAGCGGGAACAAGAGAGATTGGAATTATTTTTTTTATTGTATATATTTAAAAGAATCATTCTTAATCCATAGAATGGCTATCGTATACGCAAAGCACAATGAATTGTGGCTTCTTGCCCATTCTCTTTGTTTTCTTTTCGTTTTAATTGCTGTTCATTTCATTATTTCACGCAAAGTAAGAGCGGCATTTCTATATAACGTATGTTTATCCCTTTAATTCCTCTAAACTCGATTGATTGTTTTTAATTGTTGTTTTTCAGTTTAAAAACGATAGCACCACCAATTAATTGTGCACATAAAAGTTTCCGCAAATTGTTTCACGTCGTTTTAATTCAGTTCGGTACGTTCTTGTTACATTTTACTCATATCGTTAGTCGTTGTGTGTGTGTGTGTACGAAGAGTGGAGAATGGCGCGAACGCCTGAGTGTTTTGATTACGGATGTGTGATGCTATAATCAGAAATGTGATTTTGTGCTTGAACAATCGCAAATGTTGATTGATACTTGGCGCTCGATAAACGCCTGATGTGCACCACGCAAAGTTTCTCAAACAAAATTTATCCGTGGAATTTAACAAAGAAAGTGATAAGTACACAATGAACAAAAACTGGATTGGCGACGCGACGGTAACGAGAGAAACATTGGGTTGATTGGGCTTAGATGCAAAAAGGGAATGAATGATTTAGTAATAGGTGCTTGCAGGTAGTTGGAAAAAGCAAATTGTAATTATAATAACAATTAGTATGGCAAAACCCAAATTTAGCAGCTGCCAACACAAAACAAAGTAAAACACTTGATGTGTGTGTGTGTAAAATATCGATAGCGCACTGCGTGCATATGAAAACACCGAAAGAGAGAGAGAGAGAGAGAGAGAGAGAGAGAGAGCGAAGGAAAATGAGTAACTGTGCGTTATATAAGTTAGAAAGTATGTAAAATACCTTGGATCCCATATCTTATTAATGAAATTTTCGAAACTTATCCAAATTGTACACTTCCGCAACACACAACACATTTGGATACATAAATATTTGATATGCATGCATCTAATGGAATTCGAAAGAGTTTTCTAAATATTTATGAAGCAAAGGGAGAAAATTGCATGATTAAATTATTGGCAAACTAGCGTACACGTTTAAGTACCTTGTCGAAAAATTGTCGCCTTTTTACCATACTCCTCAAACCTTCCGCCCGTTTGTTCCAAATCGAACAAATTCACATTTTGATGGAGTCGAAAAGTGTTTTCGATTTAAAGAATATATTATTCCCATATGGAGTTTGGCGAATCGACGTTCGGGTGTGTGTGTGTGTGCTGAGGTTCAATCATTCATTCGGTGCATGTGAGCATTGTTCGCAGTGTCATTGTATGAGCGCTTCTCAGTGTCGCTTCATTGAACATTGACCATGAGCCAAGCAACGTGCCCTTCTCCCGTGCACATATCAGGGTAAGTTTCGTAATAAAAAATACACACACCGTTGACATCACGAGAGAAATATGTTGTATTGTGCAATGTTCTATCGATTATCGTTCGGTATTCACCATTTACAATGGAATTTGAATTGAAAACGAAAACGAAATTGTAGGGAATGGCCAACGAATGAAATAATACCATCCAACCAAAATACCGAGGAGAAATTTGTTTGATATTTGAAACATGTGTTCGTTACACGCAATCACATTATTTTGCATAGTTTTTTCCAAAGTGACTGCATTTCCGTAACTTAGCAAACTGACCATGCAAACAGAGTGGACAGAGAGTGCAATAGAGGGAGGGAGAGAGAGAGGAACAGAAGAAGAAAAAAACGAGAGAAATTTTCATGCCAACATGAACTGAATGATTCGTCCACTTTGGCCATTCATTGCATTTCACCATGAATTGTTTTCCTTTCTTATATTCTTTTCGTGTTCAATTCGTTTTCCTTTCATTCATCCTTAGCTACTTCAGTATTTGTGCCGTTTATTGTTCGTTTCTCCTTCGAGATCTGTCCATATCGCTAGGTGTTTTATCAAGAAAAAATAAATTGTATTCAGTACCGTCGTTAATAATACTAAAACGCAATGAAACGTGAAAAAAGATGGAACTCACAGTGCATTGTCATCGTATCATGGATTTGTCAGCAACAATAATACACACACAAATTCATCAACAACAAAAAAACAATCGAAAAAAACTACTCTTTTATTTTGCCTTCATCGTTTTTATTTATTTCGTTCGTTTGACGTCAGTGACGTTGTTTGCACGGATCATGCAACAATGTTTCAATTGATGTTAAATTAAATCATCTTCGATGTGAATTGTGTGTCGCGTGTACTCCAAAATCGAGAGAAGGAAAAAAAACCAAAATTCACCAATTCGATTTCTTTCGAGGTTTGATAATCACAAAATGTCAATGACGTTGACGTTATTTGAATTATCCATCGACAATACAATTAAGTATTTATGTTATTCGCACGAGCTTCTGCTGTAAAAATTTTGCAGCAATGCAAACGTGCTATTGACTTCAATGGAAAATACATGTTAAAGAATTTTCTTTTCAGGTGGCAATTTCATTTTCTTCTTCTCCCCATTCTCTTACACTGCTTCGGCTTGTTTTTTTTTCTTGTTTCCATTCATTTGCCATTTCATGCAGTATATTTTTCCTCATAAAATGTGTGTAAGAGATGTGTGTGTGTGTGTTCAAGTGATCGAACGTAGTTTGTGAGAAAATACCGTATATCTTCGGATGTTAGTCAAAATTATGAGTGACGTGAATGCCAATGGAAAACTACTTTCGCTACAACTAAATCAATTTTGTGTATATATGTATCGTATTCAACGGGTCGAAATAAATTTTTGCCGCATTTTCTTGTCTTGTAGTGAAAATTGAAACGAAAGAATTATTATGAAGCGGAAAAGAGAACGAGAGTGAATGAAATCCTCTTAAATGTATTCATTTATCTCGATGCACACATATAAATACATACACACCGGCATTTTATATGATATTGCAACGGAAACGATTTTCGAGTTCAAAATATAGATGAAGAAGAAGAAGAAGAAAAAAAAGTGCTGCATGAATACTTTGATGTATGACGAAGTAAATGCACATAGACACACTGAATTTATGTTAACGAAATACATGAACGAAAAACGACCAGAAGAAAATAACGCGCACAGAGAGATTAGGTGCCGAACGAGAATCGTTTGTCGTTATAGAAATTGTGTATCACGTTGACGATGTTATAGTTTTTGTTTGTTTCACCATCACTGTTGTAATCGTCGTCTCATCTATAGACTAATAGTACTGTTACATGAATAAAATTTGGCCAAATATCTCCTGTCATATGCAATAAATTGAATGAAACACAACTGCAATTGTATACAATGATGGAAGAGTTGACCTGACATATCCTTTACCTATTTAAGAAGCTTGTGTCAGTGTTTTAATTAATTTGGAATTGTATACCGATGGCTCATGAAATAATATACCATCATTATTCGAACATTACCACACATTCGGTTCTGTAATCTGTATGCATACGGTGCAATGCACACGAAAACGCCCACTGAAAATGAACTTCGGTTCGGTGGCACGGTGTTAAATTGCATCCATTGCAAATGCCATTTAATCGAGAGCAAAAACTCAAAGTGAAAGAGTGCACAAAAGGTGTGAGGCAATCTGCACCGATGTACAGAAAATCTGGCACCGAAAGAGTGTTAAGTGATAAAATGTCGACCAGAACCAAACATGGATTGTGCAGTTCACCAACAATATCGTAGCTGATTTAAAGAATTAAAAAAAAAAACGAAAAAATGAGTATCGTAGCAAATGCAATGCAAAAGGCGGTGATTTCAATGTTGCCTGTGTACATACAAACAACAATTTATCGTTGCACATTCGCATTTGCGCTCTCAGCTCAATGGAGTAAAGTCAACCAGTCGTGAAATCTTCAAGATGAAATGCGAAATTTAATTAAAATAAGAATCAGAACAAAAAAACACACACACACACACACAAACGACACAAACGAACCATTTCATGAAATATAGAGAAAAAAAAATGAAAGAGCGAGTAAGCAAACGAACGAATCGAGAGCTAAACACAGAACTTCAAAGTGAAAATTGAAGAGAAATAGTGAAAAAAAATGATTCACCTAAATTTCAGAGATTTAACCAGGAGGAATTTAATTTTGCTATATATTTTTGCTCTGCGTTTGTGTTTTTTTTTGGGCGCCCATTCGTTCATTCTTAATAAATCATGTTGTTTTATGTCCATAACCATATCGCACAATTGAGCGATCGTTTCATACCGAGAATTTTCAATTTATGAAATCTAATAAATCGAAATTCTCAGCGAAAACGACAACGACGCACAAAAGACTATATCTCACATTCAATCAGAACAATGCAATACGAACAACAACAAAGAAAAAAAGAATCGACGACATCAATAGCTGACAATGAGATAGAAAGAGAAAGAACAAAAGAGTCACTACTGTCAAACACCAAAAATATATATTGCTGCACCAAATGCACAGAAGAAAAGATATTTTGACAAAATTGCTACGAGCAATTTGTGTCTGTGTCAATTTGTTGCTTTGTTTGCAACGGTAAATTTGGTACAATGATTTGACGCACGAGCACCGACTGGCGAACAAACGACAACGACGACGACGACGCTCAAACACAAAAAATACGGACACACATACACAAATGGAGACAGATACACGCACCCTTTATGTTACCAGTAAATATTCGCATTTTTAATCAGTTCGATGTTCGATTGTGTATCTGTGCGGATTCTTTTTTTTTCTCATTCTGTGTCGATTTCAGCTCTGACATCTCCGGCAGAGTGACACATTTTTGCGCCTAATAAGTCACATTGTGTTTTAGTAAATAGCCACCAGTCAACTAATTCGAAAACGTAATTATCGCATTTTTTGTGTGTTTGCTGGAAATTTTGTTTGTACTGTCGTTTGGGAATTGACGCAACAAAAATAAGAATAAACAAACAACATCAAAAGACCAACATTTGAAAAACGATTCTTTTTTTATGAATCAGAACTGCTAATGTAGTTGTTGTGTGCATTTAATTAAATCGTTGACGACTCGTAGCTTACGACGAAAAAAAAAACAACAACAGATATATAAATTTAAGTTATTTGTAATCTGTTTGTCGAATTGTCGTTTATTTTTTTGTCCATTTGCATTATTTTTATTCTCGCTGTCATTCCTGATGACAATTATATTATTGTTTATTTGTTATGACTACAACAAAAATAAAAATGTTGATTTGCAAGCCATAATATCGAATAACATGATGGAAGAATATTGGCGGTCCAAAATCGTTGATGCAATCTTTTTCGGTATACCGAATGCACAGCCATCGGTCGGAACATGAGCTTGCTGCATTAGTGGAAACAATGTCAATGGGATATCCAATGCGAATGAGCACACGTTGGTACGATTTGCATCGGAAATACGGAAATTGGCAAATGGTAATGTTCATGGGTTTTTGTATGTTTGTGCAGGTTTTTGTTTTTAAATTTCATTACATCACTTTGACGATACATTTAGTGGAATTTTCGGACGGAATGTCGAATGATTATTCGGACGGAATGTAGTTACAGTAGTGTCGGTGACGATATCAACACCAGATACAGCATAATGAACCCATTTCCAAACAACCATTCACGCAACAAAAATGGCCATCAACCAGAGTATGTAGATACATTTCGGTGGTCAACATTTTCAGATCAATCGTTGAATTGATTTTTGTTCTTTTTTTTCTTTCGTTCTATTTTCTTGTATGTTTAAAGTTTTGTGAACTTTGTTAGAACAATGTCGGGAATCGGATCTAGTGTATAAATCGCATAAATAGAAAGATAATCAGAATCAGGTATGTTGTCCTCGTCTGTAGTTCTTCCCAGAAAACAGTTTATACAGAAACTTGAATAAAAATCTGACTTTACAGGATGATTGCGGGTGAACGTGGACACAAGTGAGTTGACGATAATGCACACACCGTTCGATACTGTCCACAACGTGAGATGTTCATTCCGTCTCGGCATTGAATTTTTTGTTACAACAAATAACTGAATCGATTCAGTTGCGTTTACAATAATTATTTCTTGTAGAAACACAAAGAATATGTTTTCTTTTTCTCCCACCCAAAAGATGTGCCAATTCTGTAGTCGTAGTCATTTCTTTCGTTTGTTTTGAATTTAAATTGCATTTATCTCTCTTCATTTGAAATTGAATCACATTTTCCCTTCTGTTGACAATGAACTCGAATGTCATCAATAAAAGTTAGAAAAAAAACTTAAATTGCATGTTAAATGGACGGTCGTTTTTATTTCGATTTGAGTTTATTTCAACTGCACGTAACGTACATTTTCAAAATCGATGTTAGTAATCATCGAAACAGTTTCAATTGGATCGTTGAGGAGACGAGAGAGAAAAAAAACAAACAAACAACCGGAAGATTCAAAACGATATTGAGTATATATTTTTTTGTAGATGTTGCTTTTTGGGCAAAAGGTTCTACCACTGTGGCCGAGTCCAAAGTATTTCAATCGAATAACAGATGTGTTTATTGGTGTTGCGGTTTTTGTATAACAACATACAAAAGATATGGTAATGGAAGAGATATGGTCACAGATACATTTTATGTCCAGTATGTGCCGTCATCATCATAATTACATAGATTAGCGCTAACGCATCAGTTTCCCTTTGCTCGATAGATGACCGAAAAAAAAGACGAGAAACTAAATACAATTCATACACGAAAAACAAAATACACTGAGAGTCAAACAGACGGATAGACGGGGACACTCACATATATCGAAGTAGATCACAAACACCCAGATCCCATGCGATAATTGGTTAATAAATATTTCGGAATCATATGGAAAATTTAAATGAACGATTAATGGACGGTCACATTGTCATGCAATGGTGCACAATTATTTTATGGACGAATGTTTTACATTCGTTGGCACATTGTTAAGAGCGCAAGGACGTGTAAATGTTATTATTTTTTGTTTTCGTGCCACTTTGTTAACTTACTATTTCTCTCTATCTCTCTAGTTTGTTCTTGTTCTAGTTACGGTTTGATTGTAATGGGATTGCGCTTTGGCGATAATAACAAAAACATCATCGACAATGACGGCCATTGGACATTCGGTACAGTATACACAATAATCATAATTTTCCGTATTTGTGTGTGACATGCATATATTTTTTTTGTGGTGCGCTCGAGGATATGTTCATGATTTTCGGTTGTCTAAAAATCATACTGTGGTGTAAAAGAAAAAAAAGTGTATCGATTTGGTATTCTCTAAGCAGTAATCGTGAGCTCATCAATAAATCTGCATTTTACGTTGTTCACACACAAACACACACACAAAAAAAGTCAAGCAAATTTTTTTCTCACGATCCATCGCTTTCTTCTTTGTCTTTATTCTTTTTCACTTTTACTCTTGTCTCCTCGCCGCATTCGTTTTGTTGTTGTCATATACGGAAAGTTATTGAGATGACGAAAGCAAAAATAAAACCAAGAGCAAAAAAAAGCGGGTAGTCTCGTTGAACAAATTTTGCCAACAAAATGTGATTCTCTGGAGATCGAAGCGATTTGTGTATATAGCTCACGCTTTTGCACAAATCCATTTTGGCAAACATTTTTAGTGCAAACACAACACCATCACCATCACCATCGTCACCAAATATACACGATGCATCTTATTAGAGAGGTGCTGGTTGCTCATCAGCATTTTTAAGTGAATATTAGGAGAGGAGAAGAAAAAAAAGAGAAACGCTGGAGAAAACGAGAGACGCAAATCGGGAATATATTTCGAATTTTCAACTTCTAATCTGAAGCTCATTTGCTCTTGCATTCATCGCTGCGGAAAATGTGATTAGAATTTTAATTTGGTGTGTCTCTCTCTGTGTGTGTCTAAACGAGAAACAGATGAATTTTTTTGTTGTTGTTGTTGGGTGTTGGAAAATTTCTTGGGCATCAAATAGAAAATGAAGGGTCATATAGACTGTTTTTTTTTTTGTTTTATATATATAAAAAAAATCTTTATATATATATTTCGTTTTGCCACAGTAAAAATGTATGCCATCAAAAGATGTTTCCGTATTTTTGGCATGTTTTCATTTGAAACACTGAATACTGATTTTTGGTATTTATATAAAGTATTGCACAGAATTTAAAACGAATTTTGCATCATCTGCCCTCATACAACAGACATTTCCAAAATGGACAACACCAACAATTTTTCTTTTATATAGATATAAAAATATGTAGGACACCAATAATTACATGGCTTTCATAATTCTTTCATCGAGTTTATTTCATCGCCTTTGCTTGCATTTCACACTCCCGAATACATGGACAAACTGATTTTGCGAGTAATTTCCAATCAATCCAGTGTAAGACTACGATTTTACACCGATTCATTAAAAATACACACAAAAGCTAACAGTCGGAGCCGAATCGAATATTCAATTTATTTCCAGTCAGATTCAAAGAAAAACCAACAAAACAAAAAAAGGGAATGGTAAAAAAACGACAGCATTCAAAATGGATATCTCAATCAGGAATTCGACATGTCGTTTGAATTTCGGCAAGCGCATTTAAATCGTAAATTTGTGACTTGCTACAATTTTCTTTGAACACAGACACACAACAGTGTCAAGTGAATAACAGTAATTGAGTATCTAGTAACGTTTCCTCGTTTGGTATTTTTTTTTTACATTTTAAATTGATCGTTTCGAAAGGGAATAAAGAAGCGAATCGAATCGGGAGAGAGAAAAAAAACATTGAACTCCGTTTAAAAAGTCTTTGTTTTAATTTTTCTTAATTTGAAATTTATGCGCCATGCAATCTTTAAGAAATTGCTGTATATGGCGAAACAAGATGTGACTAGATATTTAAAAAGGGAGAGCGTGCGTGAAGAGTGAAAAAAAAGTATGTAAGTAAAAGAAGATGAAGAAAATTCAGTTAAATGTTAATTACAATATGCGTTTATTATAGTTAATGTAATGGCATTGTCATGACGGCTTATGAAATGAACGAAAATCCATTTGAAATAATGAACGGAGCAATGGCATTATTTGCGGTTCTTTGCGTTGAAATTTAATGAACTTATGACTTGTAATTTATAAACATATACAAACACAATGAAGACCATGGACCGCAAGGAGAGAACGAATGCAAACGACAAAAACAACAACCATCCCGAATGAAAATGAGTGAAAACGTATAACGAACGATAACACATATTTTTTTTTATTTACGTATATATTTAAACATTTAGATTTCTTCAACAATAATAACAACAGAAACAGCAACAAAAAATGTCGTAAAGTTGATGCTGTAAATTAGTGATAAATTACCCGTATAATGATAGCATCACCATTAATCAATAAACAGTATAAACACTCTAAGCAAATGCATATTAAACTTGTATATTGGACAGACCGAGGCAAATGAACGGCAATGCCAAAACACATAAATAGACAGCAAAAGATGTGATGGTCGGATCGTCTCTCAGTCGGAAGGGACATTCCGAGTTGATAGAAAGTTTTTTTTCTTCTTCTTTCTCTCTTGTGAAGAAAAACAAAAGACAATAATATGCACGAAAACTAAAAGCAACAATCAACCAGATCGAAATAGAGGAAGAGAAAGAGCGAAAGATAAAAAAAATCAGTAACGAGGAGAATGATATCAGAGAATTTTCTTGTCTATTTCGGGACTAATGTATTCAGTTTTTTTTTTTTTTGGTTAAGGAAAAACAAAATAAAATATTGAGTGAGAAAAAAAGATACACACACACACATACGAAGAAAGGGAGATGGAGATATAAAAGAGAGAGAACTAAAGGGAAATGAAAAGAGTGAGTTAGTCAAAAGAAAAACTAAATGTACATATTGCCAAAGTAAAAAGCATCTCCAGAGAGATCAAACCAACAACAGCAACAACAACAACAAAAAAAAAACAAGTAAAATCCACATGAATAGTCGTAGAACTTATGCACACAGCACTGGATTATCTGGCCTGGTATTTCGGCTTTGGCTTTGGCTTAGCTCAAACCAAACCAGCATTTCCAATAAAACACCGGAACTAGAATTGCGCCAAAGCAACAACATCAACAATGGGTTGGCATACATATATATCGAGAAAGAAAGAGACTTTTGGCATACAGAACGAGTCAAATCGTGCCGAAAAAGCTGAACGCTGCTGAAGTGAGAGCAAAAAGAAACAACAAAAAAAACTGAAAGAGAAAATATGAATCCAAATGAGAGAAAGCTTCTGGTCTTTGGATGAACGAATGCAAGATGCAATACAGCGACGAGAAAAATGAGAACAAAAATGAAAAACATCGTTTGAAATGCAATCGCATTTGAATATCATTAATAAAGAGTGAATGGTGTAAGGGCAATGCTGTTCAGCGTGCAAAATTGCATGTGAAATGTAATAGGTAGCTGGTAATGCATACGTCATGCCATTATATTCAGATATATTTTCTACAAATATTGCGTATCCGAGCAGTTTTGTTGCATTTATTTTATGTAATGCAATTTGTAAATTTTGTTGTGTTTTGTTGCGATGAATTATGTTATTTGTGAACGGGAAATCGAGCGAGAGAGAGAAAGAGAAATATGTGGGAGAATAAATATGAAAGAGACTAAAAATGGTATATTTGGAAGTTGCACCTTAAAACCGAAAGAGACATCCTTGTTGCATACAGCGACAAACGGCAACGATGACGGAAGCCGAGTTTGGCATGTCAGTGTGTTTGGCAGTTGAAAATTTAGCGGTGGCTCTGTTACTGTATACCATAGATTGTAATCAAACGCCTAAATAAGACCGTGAGCGCTTGTTGTAATGCACTTTTTGTAATAGCTGTTGTATTGTGTCGCGTGTACGCGACGGCAACAATGCCAAACAGCATTCACATGTAAAACCCATCCCATGCAACTAATTTGAACATTTTCGAGCTGTTTGAATTGATACATCTTTTCATTCTGCATGATTTATTCAAATAATTTTTGCGATTCATATTTCATGAATGCGGTAAAAGGTTTTGAAGGAGAGAGAGAGAGAGGGCGCTAAGTAGAGGGAGTGAGAATTCATAGA